TTTTTCCGTATGCTTTACGCATGCGCGTTTAGCACAAAAAACAAAGCAACTTAAACAACTTGCATTGAAAAAAATGTTTAATAAAGTAAACAAATAAATAGTAAGCCTTTTTTTTTTTTTTTTTTTGTAAATTTTGATACCTTTTAGATCAAAATTGCTCTTTATTTCATAAATTACGGTTTCATATTTTTAATTGTATAATTTCTGCATGCATCTTACCACATTTAAATTGATGATCTATAATCCGGAATCGAAGTCCCGATGAGTCCAGATTACGGACTTTGTACTGTAGTATGAGAAAATTTAGTATGTTTTATCAGAGCAACAACAAGGCATCATGGTAGCAGATATTTCATTGCTTGAGTTATATGTAAAATACAGGGTATTCATTATGTAAAATTATTCAGTGCTTGTTTTTAAGTAGCATCGAAAAGAATGGGAGAGTCTTATATTATGATCAATTGTTAAATACCTGGAGCTTTGCATTTGCACCTGTAGGTGATGTTGTATATCAGCAAGCAAGGTGTTATGTTTAAATTTAGGCGAAAGACCAACTGAAGTTTGGCGAAGAATTTGAATAAATTCTATCAGTTTTGAGGGTGATCAGACACAGGTCTCTTTTCTTCATGAGCAAACAATTTTTTTTTAAAGCATAACCATTGTACAGTACAAAGTCTTTAATCCGGACTCGTCGGGGACTTCGGCGATTCCAGATTATAGATCAATTTAAAACTGGTAAGATGGCATGCAGAAATTATAAAATTAAAAATATGAAACCATAATTTATGAAATAAAGAGCAATTATGATCTAAAAGGTATCAAAATTTACAAAAAAAAAGCTTAATATTTATTTGTTTACTTTTCTTTCAATGTGCGCATGCGTAAAAGCATACATTACGCATGGTCGAAATTAGAAAATTGCAGCCAGAAAACTATTTGATGTGTATCGTGATATTTATAATGACGAGGAATTTGATTTAAATCATATCAAAGGCGGAGTACATCGAGATGAAATACTACGTTTAGTAAGGAATTATAAGCCGGATAAAATAAAAACATCTGCCCTGAAGATGAGGATAGTGCTGACAGATTAACTTCCAGTTCATTGTGCGCTGCCACACTCCCCCTCCCCCGCAGAGCAGCGTGAAATTGATAAACAGATTTTGGAATGGTTAGAGAAACAAAGGATATGCCTTTATCCATTTTTTGCAGTAATTCCACTTTTTGTTTGATGGACATCGGAACATGATTTCGTTTTGTAGATCCTTTGGCAGCTCCAGAATCGGAAACTCTTTTTGTCGTAATCGAAAGTCCAAGCTTACTTTTTATAAAAAAATGCTCTAACAGTCTGCAAAAAATAATAAACCGAATCCAATTAGAAGATTAAGGAACAATGCAATCTGCAACATTAACTGAAATAGATAATTAGAGCCTAGCTTATACCGCTCGTTATACATTAAACATGCATGCGTAATGCATTATAATGCGTTTACGCATGAGCAGAAAGTTTGTAGCTTTGAGGTCCGGATTATAGATCATTCCGGATTACGGACGTCCGGATTAAAGACTTTGCACTCTATATTGAAAGTCAAAATTTTGAAAGTGTCCAACTATGATTAGATACTAAAGATTTGTTTATTTCTCCTATTTGAAGGATAAGTTTTGTGTTCCTTTATGTGAAATTTTAATGGCTAAACTAAATGAGTATCTAAAAAGGAGCAGAAGACAGTGCAGAGGGGCTTGTCTGGAATATATACTTCACTACTATACCAAAGACGTACAGCTTCTTCCCAAAATTGTGTCTGCAGATGAACTTGGTCCCACCATTTCAATCAAACCCTGAAATAGAATGTTGAAATAGCTCTTTAAAATGGTTTTAGATTATCTAAATGCAGGCAGTCAGTACAACTACATACTGCACTATGTTACAGTCTCAAAACACCCATCAAAAGTAATAGAAAAAGCAAAACAGGATGTTGTCAAATGGAATTATTTTTTGGTGTGATGTTGCATGCTCACATGGCTACAGTGTACCAAGTGCAGCAGCGGCACAGGTCAAAGTTATGAATACAAGATCTTTTTAAATATACTGCATATATTGACTATGGGTCAGTCAGAAATTTTTTCCCCTAAAGTTACATTCTCCGGCTAACAAGCCCTCTTTTCCAACTCGATCCACTTCTATTTCCAAATATTGAAATAATAGCTTCTTAGCTTAGAGCTAGCCTACAGGAACCCTGTACATAATTATTGACTTGATTTCTGTCATGAACAGTCTCCTTGACCAACATGTCGTCTGTGTCATTTCCAATAAAACCAGCATGGGCTTTAATCCAATAAAAATAAACTTCATGTTTATTAGACAAGGAAACAATTTTTTCTTTTATATCATTAAGCAACATATTTTTGTGAAAAGGTTCATGTAAGGCCTGGAGAGAAGATAAAGAATCTGAAAAGGTATAAAACGACTGGAGTAAAAGTTATGTTCAATCCAAATCAAAGCTTAATATATCACTAACATCTACCCTTGATATACAGAATTAAAATGTTGATATTTTTTATATTAACTCTCAAGATAAAAATAAAACATAACAATTGCAAAGCCAGTTTTTGCTATTGATAGCAAATTCATATCTGATTGTCATGATCTAGTATATGTCTATCAAGCAAAATACTAATCTTGTCTGCTGGGTATATATAACTCTCATTAAAAAATTTAGAGGTATCTCTATAAATTAACATTTCTTCTCATGTAACATGATTTACTGTTCTCATTCTTAAAAGAAATTTATTATAATAAAATTTATACAATATTGAGGGGGTACCATGCTAGCCAAGGCACAAACAACTTCAATTGCGGTGGTACTGAAACAGCATGCTAAATTCTCTGAGCTGTATTTAATTTCATTCTCAGCTACTGCAATTTGGCTGCTTTGGAACCCCACACTTCTACACCATAAAAAATAATAGACAGAATAACACTTGACCCAAAGTTTCTATAAAAATTACATCACTTCTTCTATGCATGTTATCAAAATCATCTAAAGATTCAACTGATGCAGCCTTTTTCTTGTCGAGATCTCACACTTTATGATCGTTTTCCGATCTTTACAAAAAAGCAAGAAATTGGTTTTTAATTAAAAGTTGTGTTTCCTTCATTACTCCAGCCTTTAAAGACACTGCACAAAAAACTAAATGAATACTTAATTTTTAATTCCCTGTATGAAGTAAAGGAAGTATTGTAATCACGAAAAATTCTGGGTATCATATTATCAATGAAATATATCATATCAATGAAGATATCCATCTTGACCGCTATTGAATGTAATTTAACGATTTTTTGAATGACATTTGTATGTAAGGACTGAATAAAGGACTCACTTCCCCCAAAATGGATCATAAAATTGAATTAAAATGGAACTAGATGAGAGTTTTCATGACATCTGTATGCATATACATGTGTATGTATGTATCTCGCAAAACTCAAAAATGAGTAGCCTCAGAATGTTGAACTTTTGTATATAGGACTGCTATAACATATAGTTGTGCATTTACCTTTTTGGTTGCAATCGGCTGCACCAAATGTATATATATATATATATATATATATATATGCCCACTCTGTTACTCGGCTCGGTGTTATTTTTATTCTTGTATATTGGTGAATTGTGCATTTTTTGCTTTCAAAATGATTGGATTATGCTATTCTTATCTTCTGGTTAAGGTTTTTATGCCTTTATGTTAATCTACATGCAATAGTTGTAGAATTATCAACAATTTTAAAGTTGTTTAAGTGCGACTAAGCCTATTTTTTTAACAAATATGGCTGCTGTGGTTTTTTTATCATAGCAGCCATATTTGTTTACATTTGAAACATAAAATAATGAATCAGTTTCTGCATCTTCAGTGTCTTTTTTCCAAATGGTACCAAAAGTAAACTTTTAGCTTTGTGCACCAAAAAATCTGCCTCTTGCCCACTGGATGAATTGCTTGTTTTTGCATAGAAACTCTAATTTTAATTGTGAAAATTGTTTTAACTACATTTGGTGTTTTATATATTTATTAATTTTTAATGAAGCTATTTTGAGGTTTTATGTATTTTTGCCTTGCCATTAAGTGAGAACTGAATTAATTGAACGAGAAATATACATCTGGTGAAATTTGAGGAAATAAGTTTAAATGGAATGCAGCAAAAAATGCATGTAATTTAATATTCCGTATGAGGAAGTCATGTGGTGTACACATCAGATTTTTTCTAATGAGGTATCTGCCGAAATGAAAAGGAATTCTTTGATATAACAAGTCATTTGGGTATTTTGTTCAAAGGGACATGTAAATAAGTTTATTTACAATAAGTTCCAGAACAGCAGAGCACTGCACCAGCTTTGTAGGCACCCTTAACCTTTTAACTGTCATGCCTGAGATGTTCGAAAATGTCACGCCCGAGTATTTCTCGGGGTAATTTTTTTTTTGAGTGCATCGTATTGTCATACCCGAATATATATCGGGAGATGTTTATTTCGGCTACATTTGGTTTTTCCAATAAAAATATTTGACAATTTGTGTACCCAAATCATCAACATAACTTGACAGTTAAAGGGTTAAAAACCATATGAGTAATAATGTTCCCAGTGTTATCTAATTCATAAACAATTTTTCTATCATAAAAATAATATAGTAAAACCTTATTGCCAGGAGTTTTTCACCATTTTAATGTATGCATCAGAAAGGGCCACCTAACTGAATCTAAAGCCCCTGCGACATCAAATGAAACAACTGCAACATGTTTATCAACTCCTAATTCCTGTTCATGTGCTATTGCAGTGCCTGTTCATTTCCAGGCCATGAAACTAAATTGATAATGAGATGATTTTATCTTTATTAAAGAAATGCATAAGCCAATTCATAATGAATTTATCCATTATGTTCCCTAAAATTTTTAATATACAAATAGTTAATAGTATTTGTCTTTTTTGGAATTAATATCAGTTTACGTATTTTCCATTGTGATGGAAATTTTCCAATACTCTAACATTTATTGTGTAAACAAAGAGCCACCGATATTGTGGTTAGGGACACTAACGGATCTGAGTTCAAATCCTGGAGAAGGATTGATTTTGTAAACATATCTTGCCTGTGCAGTAAGGGGCTCTGAAAATACATGACAATCTAAAAGTCATCCTGAAAGGTTTGGTGGCGAGGGCAGGGGGATGAAAGATCTTTGGACTGTCTCCCCTCAGGGTGTTCTTCCTCAAAATTTGGTTACAAAGCTTAACAGTTAACTAGGTTTCAGCATTACCTCAATCACCTATGGTACTTCAGAGGTGCTGGCCCAGCTTCTACCTGCACCTGTACAACAAAAGAAAAAAGTCCCAGTAATCAAAATATGATTTCTTCACCATATGAACATTAAAATAATCAGAGACATATGTTTTAACTTAATTACAATCACTTCAATTTCCATTTTATTAAACAGTTTGCTATTTTTAGTATTACTTGGCTTCAAAATATCACCATTTAATATTGCATTCTCTGAGGTCCCAACATCTAATAAACTTATTTACGATCAGCTCAATTTCCATTTTATCAAAAGGTTTGTCATTTTCAGTAGTTCTTGGCTTCAAAATATCTCAATTTAATTTTGCATCCTCTAAGGTCTCGACATCTAATACATCAGAAACTATTTGCATTACACAGTGTCATTTCACATAATGTAATGTTTTGTTACTCATGTAACTTTTTTATGGGAAGAAATTAGGAAATTAATATTACTTTAAATTGCTTTATGTATTTAGTAAACTGCTGAATTAATAATTTTATTAACATACATATATTGTCTATGTAAAGAGAAATATTCTTTTGTCAATGAGTAAGGTTTTGAATTAACATACCTCTGAAGATATTGTTATAAGCAAATAGTTGAACAAGAAGCATATTATTGCAGTTTTATCATAATTTAATTAATTTTATTTATTATATTAATATGTGATGTGCGAAGTTACGAGGAAAATAATAATAATTTTTTCTCTCCTTAGAAATGTTTTTAGAGAAATGCGAATCATTCTCGAAAGTTTTGCAAATAAACCAGGTCGTAATCAACAGCTGAGAAACTTATGTCATAAAGTGATAAATTTTACATCGTATCTTGCTCCTCCAATACCTACACAGCAATAAAATAAATTATTTATGTAAACAAATTCTACATGTGAACTATGTTTCAATATTTTTTGTGTGTCCAGTTTTGTATGCATGCTTTGATGAAGTCTGGAAATATTGTTTTCATTTCGCCAAAGCACTGTTCAAACAACTGTCATTCCTTCAAACAAAAAAACATGTGATCTGATTGTTGCATTTCCTTATTTATGCACATAGATTATTATGTATTATCACTGAATATTTTACTGGTTTCTATGTATTTTTCTGTGCTTCAGACCTTTTTATGATCTAATTCTATAATATTTATTTAGTATCTGTGGCTAGTTTTTGCAAATTTCTATTTTTTAAATATTGATTGTATTTGTATTACATGCAAGTTCTTTAAAATTCTCCATAATGGAATTTTTTTTAAAGTTCAAATTATTTATGATTAGGTGTATCTAATGAAGTATATGTATAGCTGCTGTTAAATAAAATATTACTTCTTGAGAATATTGTATCTGTTAAATTATAAATCCTTAAAGTTGTATATAATACTTATCTGCAGTATTATTTACAGTAAACATGTTGCATACTAAAAAAAACTTTGATGACTCTTTGTATATACAATTACTTACCTGACTACAGTTTGTAATTTTTAAACTGTTTCTAAATGAATAATGATGCAGTAGACTATGATAGGCATTTGGATTTTTATATGACACAACGTAGTATCATGACTAAGAATCTGGGCATACATTTAAGCTATTTTGTCTGAAACTGTAATATTGATTGGAAAATTTTGCATGCATGTATAGCTGGATTGGCTACATTTTTAAAGCATAAGTATGTATACCTTCCCATAGCATAAAAAATAATGAGTTTAGAATCTAAGCATGCATATGTAGTACTAAAGTTTGCTTATATGTAGGGAAAGGTTAAGAATGGGAAAATATCAGTATAAATTTGAATTTTTTAAACCTTAACTGCCAACTATTTTATTAATTTTTTCTAAATAATGGAGAAATGCGAATTTTTCAATCATGTACGGTCATAAAATAATTACTGTCAAGTACTGACACACTTTAAAAAATCTGATATTTCAGTAATAAGTAAATATACAAGTAGAATTTTGTTTTCTGTTTGTTTTCATTTCTAGTCTGGCTTATATAATTAGCTCTGAAGTTTTTGCCGTTTATTAAATCCTACTAAGTTGAGATGATGAGCAAAGCTATTAATTTATATAAGTTGTTTAGAAAATAGAAGTAAATGTGAAGTATATGCAGTATAGGATATGTTCAGCATTGGGAAAATAAATTGTCTTCTTTGTTAAGTAATAATAAAGTAACTTATTTTCAATGCAATCACTATTTAATTTCTTCTCAATCTGAAATGTTTTTATTTGAAGTTAAACATTCAGTATTAGCAAATAAATTTACCAAAATCATTATTTTGATGCAAATATAGTTTTAATTTTCTTTTAGAATGAATTTCTCTCTCTTTTTAAATCTATATAGATAGCTTGAATTATGTCAGTATATTTAGTAGTCTGGATTGTTTGGCTTTGTATTTTTAAAACAATTTGTTAAATATGCTTTTTTTGGTATGCATCTATAAAAACAAGAAAACTAAAGCTGCAAAGATAAAAATTACCTTCTACCGTAATGCAGAGTTTGTTAAAATTTTGTTACATTCAAGAATTTTTTCTTGTCAGGTTATTTAGTTTGTTGTTTTACTTATTTTCAAGTTCTGAATGTGGCATTCTCCAAATATTTCTATAAGTATCAACAAAATTAAATAAGATTATTGTTTATTGCCATTGTCAAATGTTACCTTGAATTAAAATTTATTTAAGCTTTTTGAATTGACTTACCTAAATGCAGTGAATTAGCATTTTTTTTTTTTTAAATATTCAAATGTTAACTTTAGGTGTTGGGTTGATCATTGTTCATTTCAAATGTAGATGCTTGCTTTTTTTACTTTTCTTAAAAAATATTTCAGATGCTCAGGTCATGAATTTCCAAGAAACTGAACTTCATGTTAAAAGAATGTAGCTAAACATGAATTCATAGAACTCTAATTTGAAGCGGAATAGATGTACTTCTTTTGCAATTCATCTTTTGCGTTAAATTTTAATTTTAGAGTTTGTAATTAGATTTTGGAAGTATATTTTTTTTTAAGTTCTAATGTTCTTGTTAATTTTATATTTTTGTGTCATAATAATCTTCAGTTCATAATCTGCAGATTAATTTGCAGTTTGTCACTTCCCTTCTTATTACACACACAGAAAGAGTTATGTATATAGTTTTTAATGCATAATAATAATCATGAGTTTTATTTGCAAATGAATTTACACTCACACATCGTAAATAATAAATATTTATAATTTCATTTTTAAAAATTCTGTAACATTAACTTGTAGTATATTTGCAAGTGAAAGGTTATTTATGAATGTTATAATTCTTTACATTTTCTTCAATTCATATTCAAATTTAATGCTGTTTTTATTGCATTTTAGTGCAATTGTACCAATTGTTTTTTTATTTCTTCGCAGATTAAGAGTTTTTAAAATATATTTTGGATATTTTATAGTACAGGCATTCTTATGCAAAGTAAACATTATATGCCATTTAACTGATTCAAAGAAGAATCTGAATCATTTGAAAGAGTTGTTTTCCAATCTCCCCTTTTTTTGGTATATTTAAAAACAATTATCATAGAAATTTCTCTTTTGCTAAAGGAAATTAGTCATGTCAGCTATATGTATAATATAATCAGTCTTTGGAATATTAAATACATAATTTTGAGTCAGCTTTCATTTTCTGTGACCTAAAACGTGCAACTTACGTCGACTTGCAAAATTCAGGTCTTTATATTCAGTGTGTTTAAAAAAGATTGCACAGTTAAATGTCACTCAAATGGTTGGTCATAGACTTAGTGGTCAACTTTAAGAAATGTACAAAATAAATAGGCTCTCAAACTGTGATAGTATTTTGGTTTGCATATTTTTTATTGAAAATATACAAAATTAAATTTTTTAAAAATTATCCCTTTCTGCAAATCTAGGATTAATAAGTCATTTTTTTTCCCTAGTAAATGTTTTGTAGAAAAAAGACCTGATCAACATTATGAAAAATGAGCACTGAAATGTATGGTTAAAATTTCATCCGATGAAGGAAAGGAAGAACAAAAGTTTAAGGATTTGAATACAAATTTAATTCCACCAATCTGAAGCTGGCATTTCTGTAGATGGGAAAAGTGCTTCTAAATTAATATTTTACTATTATGAATGCTTGTACTACATGTTTCACTATTTGGCTTCATGATGCATAAATGAGTACTACATGTTTTTATAAGTATTTGAGCAAGTTTCACATTTTGTAATAAACAATTTGAGTATTTTTTATTAAATAAGCTACTAAAAGGTATCACATGGCCAAAATTGTCATATTTTGAAGGTTTACTTGATATTCTAAATTGAAATGATAGGTCTACTGCTAACTATTCAAGAATTATGTAATAGAATAATTTTTCAAAAATATTTTTCATATAAATAATACAAAGTTGCTTCTTTCAGAACTTAATTGCTAAAATTCCTCAACAGGAAAATTTGGAAATTTTTCACTTTGAACATTTTGAGTTTTGATCAGACGGAAGAACCTTTTTATACAAGCTTCATCATTCTACCTCATTACTTTTTTTTTGCTAACATAATTTGCACTTGGTATTTCAAAATATACATCTTTTAAGAACTTCATTGTGAAAAGTCCAGTTAGAGTAATTATCTTTATATGCATATTATAAATTTATTTTATTGGTTTGTATGAAATTGTGCATAATTATAATAATGAAACCTAACAATGAACTTTTCTACCTAATATAAATTAAAACTTTTTATCTTAAATGTTTGTCTGTTAAAATTCCTGCTGAAGATGTAATTTTGAGAAATATTATACCTATAAGAAGAATTAAAAAAGTGTTTTTATTTCTACTTAATGGAAGTAATATTTGTGTATGATACAAAATTACACGGATTTTTAATTTATTTTCTGGCCTAACATCATAGTTGCAAACTAGATTTATTTCACTTTATATTTACTTTTGTGCACATTTCTGTAATGTGAAATAGTCATGTAATGTATGTTAAAATAGACAGAAGGCACAATAAAATGAGGAAATATATTCATTATTTCTGAAGTTATGTTTTATACATAATGTAATAATTAAGATAAACTGAAATATTAAATCATCAAAAGATGAGCAAGAGCTGAAATTTGTTATGTATGCAATCTTGTTTATACATATGAATTATAAATTTTGTATTCACTTGGTACTGAAATTTTTTCTTGTACATTAAAAATAAAAACAGTTCTATTTAATATTTACTTACTGTGATTTACAGTTCTTTTTTCTCATTGATCCAATTAAGGCAGCATATTTTGAGAAAGAAAGTAGATACCAACTGGCAGGTCTGGAATTAAAATATCCCTTTCTGATACACATTAAAGCATCTTAGACACATATTCTTTGATAAGAGAGTTAAATATTTTATATACCATTTATTTTGAACATATTAAGCCCAGTTAAACAAATGTCTTTGTTATCAAAATTTGATGTAACTATGATTATATACAAGCAGACATTCAGTATTTAAGCAAAGAATGAATTATACACTTAAATGAGCTGTAGAGTAGATTTGCATGACATTGTCAGTTTATTTATTTATTTTTATTGTGGTATGAATACTGTTAATACATTTTCAATATTTTATACTTAATACAATAATGAAAGCTATGAAAACCTAACTTTATCTCAATGAGACATTTATCATATCAAATCCTTTTTTATACAATAATACTAAAATATTCGATGTTCAGATATTTAGTGTATGGTACGAATTTGTATATATGCAATGGTCACAGAGTTTATTAATTTGTTATATAAATTAATAAAATCATTGTATATGTATTAAGTATTAATATTATCTTCATTGCTTTTTTTACATAAAATGGAACTACAGGACAAGAACTGAATTTTTAAATCTTATGCAGAGTTGCCAACTCTCCTGATTTAGGCGGGAGACTCCCGACTTTCGACCGATCTCCCGCCAACCCGATTTACAATATATTTCTCCCGACTTTTTCTTATTCTTAAAATTTCTCATGATTTTTATGAATCTTGGCTTAATTCTTCTGTTATATGAACAACCGTCCCCCCCCCCAAAAAAAAGTGATTTTGGACATCTGAAAGCAATTGAATTTTCTGTAGATTATATCTAAACAAAACCTTGCAAATCAAATGAGAATTTCTGCTTTGTGAGTGAGAGCATACGTATCCATAAACGTCGTTCTCCAGTTCTCCAAAAGGCATCGAGCTCCACTGCGTATCATCTGGCATATATTAGCCAATGAGCACAAAGCAAGCAAAAGGCTGTTATTTGGATGTTCTCTCGTTATTTCGTTCATCTTGTCCTGACTTGTGTGAGTGCACGTGCCTTCGGGAAATAGTTTTAGAAATTATCATCTTTTTGTTATGTCTGCGAGAATGAAATACGTGTAACGTTTCAAAAATCGTACACAGTTGACTTTCCTTCATTATTCCTCAAGGAATGTAATAAATTTGCGATGGAACCGCCTGTCGTTGTGATTTTCGAATTCGCAATGTGGAAGGGTGGATGTCTAAACATGTGCGAACACAAAACACAAGGATAACTTAGTTGTTTTTTTAAAAAAACGAAAAATAAAATTTTTTTTTCGGAAACAAAGGACCAAAAAGTTATTAATGCAGAATGTCTGTTCTCTGCCTTTTTACTGGTAGCACAAACCTCCATAATGCATCGGATCACGCTGCAGCTTTTTTAGAAAAAATGTTTCCCGATAGTAAATTGCTAAGAAATACTCAAGTGCAAGAACCAAAACAGGTGCAATGTTAAAGAATGAGTTTGAAAAATAAATCTTCAGTTATTGATTGCACAAAACAGCTCCGTTATGCCTCTCTGATAGAAGCATAATACCGATTCAAAATTATCCAATTGTTGTTTCTTTTTTTAATCCAGTTCTTAAGAAATGAGTGCAGTTACTTTCTGTCTCCATTTTAGTAGGACATTTGACAGGCTTTAATTTACCACAGCTATTATTAAACTTTAAAGAAAATGCAGTCCCTCGGATAATGCTTAGCACTTGGTGCAGTAATGCCCAGTATGGTAGGGCTTGAAGACTGGTGTTGCAGGCATCTTAAGAAAGGAAATTCAGATGCAGTTATGAGGTGCACCTGTCACCTCTTAAATTTAGCAGCTGAAAAAAGGGCAGCTCTTTACAATAAATGTGGATGAACACATGTTGATATTTATTATTATTTGAAAGGAGTTCTAAAGGAAGGAAAAATTGAAACGTTCCAACAGCTGCATAAACAGTTTACAATTAGAAAACTTGAATGAAGTTATAAAATCAGATTGATGACACCCAGTGGAGTTTAATGGAAAACTGAAAGGTGCTGAGGGAATTTTAAAATATAGCCAACTGTCTAGAATTGTGTTGGCACTTGACAGTCCCCCATAGTAGTACAGAGTGTGAGAGGATTTTCAATGTTGTTGCGTAAACGAGGACTAAATTTAGATTAATATTAGTGAGAACACATTAGAAAAACTTTCTTAGCGAAATAGCGAAGCAGCCTACGTGTCAATTGCAGTGACAAAATTAGTTCTTTAAGAAAGACTTTTCCTAATTTTCTAAACTAAACCCTCCTTTTTTTTTTTTTTTTCCGTAACGATGCAAGTAATAAAAATGTTTTTTTATGGTAAGGTATTTTGTGTCTTGCATTTAAGAATTAGTTACTATTAAAGTTAATCATTATTAAAAATCATATTTATCATTTAAAAGTCTTTTTTACATTGTGGAAATCTCCTGATCTTAAAAAAATCTCTGATGTTTGAGTGTCATAGGTTGGCAAGTATGCTTATGTATAATCACTTATTGAAGTTTAAATGCACTGTTTTTATTAATTTTCTTATATTCTAATCTTTAGCTGTTGTGTATTGATAGAAAGCTAAGTGCTATGATTACTGTGGATTTAGATTGATTATTATCAGTTTGGCATTTTGTGTGGTCATCATTACAATTCATGTTTTCTAATTGTAGTTTTGAAATGTTTCATACCTGCATTGGTATTTCTGGTGAAATTTTATTTTCTTACCAAATGAAAAGCTTTTGCACCTGGAAGGTATATTTTCATTAATAACATCAAAATTATTTCCTTCAGGCATGGTTTAAAAACGTTTGAGCAATACTTTTAACATTTAAATGCAGTAAGTAATGTGTAGGTATGCAGCCAGTTAGTTCTTTATTTTAGACTTTTCTGCATTACTTTTTAAGTTTTTCCCATTACTGTTTGAAATCATGCCAGTATGTATGTACAGAAATATATGTTTTCAAGGTGTGTGTTGTATGCCTCGTAGATTATCCTGTACAGCTATATTCAATTAATTGAAAGAAAATGCGTTTAGTAATAAATCAGAATTTGAGAATATAATGTAATTACCAGTTTTTTAAAGTAAATGTATTTATATAATAAACTTATAAAAAATAAAATAATACAATACAGTACAAAGTCCGTAATCCGGACGTCCATTATCCGGAATGATTTATAATCCGAACCTCAAAGCCACAATAATTTATGGCCAGCTACCATATTTTATGGTGAGGACAATGAAGATTACAGCCGCAAATTTGAAGGTTTTTGGACATCGCAAACTAAAGGTGAAATTTTCCAGTTATGGGATTTTGTAAAGAAATGTGGAGAAGCGATAATAAATTAAGATGATATAAGAGAAGTTTTTCATAGCGACGACAATGCCCTAATCATCAATCAATTAACGGACGGCGAAATCTGTAGTATGGTTCTAGATCCAGAAAATACCACTTCCAATAGTGAAGAAAGTGACAGAGAGGTTATTGAAAACGAAAAAATTTTGATTGATGAGTAGTCATTCTCAACACAGCAATTACATAACTTGAACAGTGGAAACTTTGTAACTGAACAAGAAATTATTTCTGTTTATAAAATTAAAGAGAAAGTATTAGCACAAAAAATGAAGCAACTTCAACAACTTGCATTGAAAGAAATGCTTAATAAAGTAAAAGCTTTTTTGTAAATTTTGATACCTTTTAGATCATAATTGCTCTTTATTTCATACATTACGGTTTCATATTTTTAATTGTATAATTTCTGCGTGCCAGGTTGCCAGATTTAAATTGATGATCTATAATCTGGAATCGCTGAAGTCCCGACGAGTCTGGATTATGGACTTTGTAGTGTATAATAAACTTATGAAGTTGAGACCATTTCCCAATAACCAATTAATTACGACAATTGAAACCATTGCTTTCCTTGTAGGACAACTGCTATTTGAACATATTAAAACTAATCTGTATTCATTGGCATTGTAGGTATTATTTCCGGTCAAGCAATATATGACTCATTTCGCTACATTCATGGTAATTAGTATTATCATATTCCTTGTTTTCAGAACACTTTCAATGCCAGTAATGTATTCCCTTTGAGCTAATAATAATTTCATATATATTTTCATTAGTATTTAAACATATGTTTAAAGTCTACATGGTCTAGGTTCTTTAGCAGATTTCTCAATTTTGTTTTTTAATTCTGGATTCCTTATTGCAGAAGAGTCTGGAATTTTAGAATCTCTCTTTACGTCTGAAGGAAGTATAATGAAAATTATTTTTTAATCTACAAAATGCATTTTAATTCTAGTTTTCTAATATCTTTTAAAATTTCTAGTTAGATTTTTCAGATGAATCTAGATCAATGATCAGATGATCAAATGGGAATGATGAAGAATAAAATTAAGCTATAATTTCAGTTATAATGTAAAATATTTTTACTTTTAAATAACAACACATCTGTTTATACATTTATAATAAATTGCACTGGAATCTTTAGTTTGTTTTAATAGGATTTTCTTTCACCTTCATAATTTAGCTAAGCACAAAAATTCCAAGGAAAAATGATTCTTTTTATGAATTTTTCATTAAATTTTTCTTTTGAATCATTTGCAACTTAATACTTTTATAACCAGACATATTGCGATGGGTACCAGATTGAATTTCATGTCATGAATAATCATCATCAATATTCCACAGTGATGTCTGCAATGCAAATAAAATCATTTTATTTAAAACATCATTAACAATATGAGAATTCATGTTTTCAGAGACAGGTTTTGAAAAAGTATCACCATTTCCAAAGGATATACTATAATGTAATTATGTACATAGCTGATATATAAGAAAAATATAAAATGATGCTCTCATAACTGAGCAATATATACTTACCACTCTTTCCCTCCGAACCATCAGGTGTACTTTTGTTGTTTAAATTTGAAATAATATAAAAACTCGATCAATAGTAGTTTTTCATCCGCTAAGTTATGGTCAAGTTGAAATGTATACAGAG